TCAAGTGAGTTGTAGAACTGGGTTATATTAGGATCAGGGCCAAGTGGCTAAAGAAACACTTTGTAAATTCTGGCTTCTTTTTATTGTAGATTTAACACTGAAGAGGTATTTGGTTCCACGTTTTATTTTATCTTCTTTATCATTGCCAGCCATCATACCACATGTTCAATCCTTTAGTCCACGGGATCAAGGGACCTCCAGCCTGGTGTACTTCAATCACTATCTATGAACAATGCATAGACAGCTATGTGTCCCTGTGTTGACTGTACCCAGAGCCTCAATTGGCTAAAAATGATCATGAATCATATTAAAGAAAAATTTGATTGCCAACACATGATAATTTTCAAAGTCATAATTGCAATCGTGGATTTACTATAAGACCAAACTAGGCCATGTTTTTGGGGGCAACAAATCCCAAGGGGTGGCATGAAATAAATTATAAATTAAATTTTTGTCACTTTAATCTAAAAAATAAATTTTTCTTATTTTTTATGCATAATAACTCAAGGGCTGCATTTAAAGATAATATTTTTCTTTATTGAATGGCTGCCTCCCCAGGATCCTAACATCTAGAAGTTGTATTTCTCTCTTTTTTAACCCTCTGAACACATTTTAACTGATTTTTGTGCACACAGGAGTGCTAAAGATACTTTTTTTGTTGTCTTAGTGTAGGCCTATATTATATATTATTACTCCTGTCACATTGAGCTTGTTATTTCATGTTACCCCATGCCACCAAAAGAAAACATTTCTCAGATACCGTCCTTTGATTAACTATCACCCTATTGAACAGCCCTAGTTAACGCTTGCTTTGATTTACTTTGGCTTCTTTTTTTCTCCCAACATTTCACAATTACTATATTTCAGAATATTTAGGCTAAATGCATTGTAGAGAATTGAGCCAATATTTTATAGTTTTAGTAGCTCATATGTATAGTAACTGATGGTAAAATAAAATTACGGCTTGATTCTTTTAATCCCTTTCTTTTTGTTACTTTTGGCTGAAAATGGGCCCAAGCCTGTAAAGAGAAAAAAGTGCAGCGAGGGGTGGAACACCCCCCCCCCACCTTTTCATACACCACTGACATGGAGCACCTTTATCAATATTTTGTGAGGTATGACTTACATACTGATAACATTAATATAAAGGTTTTTTTTTCTTTTAATTATTTATTATAAAAGAAAATAAAAGTTTATAACAGCCGGGTGTATAAATTGTGGCATACATGAACTATTACATTTAGGCTAATGCTGTATGATAATTTTTTATTTAAATCATTTATTATCCATTGAAAGAATTGTACATAGTTGATTTAATGATAAATGTGTTATGTAGAAAAAAAATGTAAAATTTGTAAATTTTATGTATAAATAAGTTAATGTGTATTATCTGAAACAAAAATAATCATGTCATACAAATGTTGAATGACTGATCCATTATGGTCTATGAATAGAAACACATTGAAATTATTAACCTTTGAGCCTAGATTAAACCTCACCGCACCTTAAAATCAGGAAGAAGAATTTCTCTTCTCAATATTTTTACTTTATTTACTGTATTCCTTATAAATGAATTACAATCTACATATTTCCCCTAATAAATAATGTTAATAGTTATTGTTTTAAAGATACAGTCAAGGTCACAAGGTGAAGAAAATATTTTGTATGACATTGGACTGAAAAATGTATTTTTAAAACTATAACTCAAATTTTTGCAAAGTTAGCATTTAATTAATCAAATAATAGAATTAGTTTATTATGGTAGTATTAGTAGAAAATAGGATTTAGAATTACTTTTTTCTCAACATAGGGCTGAGGAACAAGTTATTTTGATAGGATTTCACTATAAATGTCCGATTGTTTGGGCCGTCTTCTTTATTGACACATACTGTGATTGGCATTTCTATGGTTGTGAGCTTTTTTTTCTTCTTTTTTTAATAATTATTTTACAATGTCATGATAATTTTAAAAACATTTTGTGCCACAGTAAAAGTGTCAATTTATGTACAATTCTCATGTTTTATTTTGAAATTGTTTCAGGATAAGTTGGCAGACAAAACTAAAAGATTTCCATTATTGTTGACCAATGATCTTCAATATTAGTCTTTGGTCTTAACTTCAGTGGATCAAATAAGTTGTAAAGATTAAGATTTGGTTGAAAAAAAAAAAAAATGTGTTTAAATATTCTTTGCTCATACAGCACCCAGACCTCTGGAAGTTTCACAGATTCTGTTCACTCATTCTACATGAGAATTAAATGATTACTTAAAAAGGTTCAAAATTATTATTACCTGAGGCAACATGACATGTGATGTGAATTAAAAAATAATAAAGTCACTAAAAACTTGATCATATTAGTTGGTTGTGGTGGTTTCTTTAATATAGTACTAATTAGTTTAAGTGCTATCACTTGGGTCACTGGGTGTGTTATCGTCTTAGAATTTCATTTGGTCTTACATTCTTAAAATCAAATGCATCATTTAAACTAAGTCTCCTTCACAAACTGAATTGAGTAGTAAATTTCTCAGAACTCTCTCATGTAATTGTTTTAATTTTGAAACATTCTTAATTTTTATTTATATTCCTAGGGGAAAAAAATATACTCCATTTGATGCCTCTTAATCAATTATTATTTTGGAAATCTTTCTCATTTAATCTCAAATTATAATCCATAGCTCAAAATAAACAGAGGTTCTGATATTTGCAAAGAAAAAAAATCCTTTTATCTACTCGGTTGTTGTTTCTTCATTTGTTTCTGCAATTTTTCAAATGAAGAAAGAAATCAATTAACTAAATGGTCATCCATAAATGATGTCAAGCGTCTAGGAGGGGATGTGTATAGAGTGTCTAAATTTTGTGACGGTGAATGGAGAGGTAACAAATTTTCACAAAATAAATAATATTATTTTGTAACCTTTTAATGTTCAAGTCAATTTCTTACTTTATGTAAATTCCTAGAAATAATTTTTTTTTTATATTATCAAGCATTGATATGTTCAACAATAAAAAAAAATTTTTGGGATGGCTTATGCAAGATAACCATTGCAAAAAGATTTTCAAAAAATATCGTTTCGGAATCCACCTATTATTGAAAGAAAAATAACAATAATTAAGCTTTATTACAATAACATCAATCATATAATAAATTCATAAAGTTTGAGGCAGATTTTAAATTTATTAAATAATTAATCATAATTTTGCATATCCTTTTCAAAGGCCTTATTCTGGGTATTTCTTTGGTTGTGAGTTTTTATCAGTTACAGCTTGAGTTATCTTATCTCTTTTTTAAATGTAACTTCGAAGACTTCAACTTGAATCAGATAAATTAATTATGCACAGTTCTTTTTTTAATACTTTAAAAATTGTTAAAATGGTTGTTTATTTGTACATGAATGTATTTTTTTATGATGACTAAAGTTTTGCCCCATTAAAACTATATTTTTTTTAAAATCATGAATAGCAAAAATGAATCAAATTTAAATACCTGTAAGGTAATTTTCTTGCTAATGTCAATTAGAAAAAAAATGTTGACAGAAAAGTCCGACTTTTAAAATGTCAAATATTAAAATTGACATTTTATATCAGAACAAATTTAAAAACACTTTATAAAACATAAGAGAAATTCTAGTAAAAATATTCTGATTAAACGTGTTGGTAAATAATTTGTATACATTTAATAACTACCTCAATGGCAGCTCATAGATCTGACCATTGCAGTGCATGAAAATGGCAATTTGGATTTGTTTAAAGTGCAAAATATCTTTTTGTCATTGAAAGCAGACCATTATTTCTGTTTTGGAAAATTTGTTTTTGTTTATTTAGATTTTTAACTCTGTATTCATTTTTACATAACATAATTTTTTTTTTAAATGTTCAGAAAAATGGCTGAATATACTTACCATGGAGATTAGTATTAGCTAATCAAAATATAAATCGTTTTAATTTTTTTTCTACTTGTTGAAAATCCTACTTTTTATTTAATCAATACTTAATTCACTTATTGCATGTACACTTGACATGACATTTGTCTATTTATATTAATGACAAACTGAACAATTGTCAGTTTTATACTTAATGACTAGTTATTAAGTCCAAATCAAACTGACTTTGATATTCATGTCAAGTCGTTTTAAAAATATGATGCATCATTTTGGCTCAAACTTGTTGCAGAGGTCATTGAAAAGTTGTTTTTTTAAATTATTTTTTCAAACCTTAATGTATCTTGTGGCTTAAACACAGTCCACAATATATTATCCTTTGAAAATATGAGCAATCTCATATTTTATTTTTATCGTTTAAAAGCTAACTTACGGCAAACACTTTTTATAACCGAATTCAAATTTTCTGAATTTTTTTATAAGGCAGCTAAATTTAAAAAATAATGGAAATATTTTTGTCATTTCCGATGACCAGCTTCTCAAAAAAAAATATTTAAGTGACAATAAGTACAATATGTACAATTTTTTTAGCATTAGGTTATGGTATCATAATGTAAATAAATAATGTTTATTCATGAAAGTAATCATTATATGTGGAGAGAAAGTGGATTTGTGTCTTCCTGATGACTTAGTATGCCATCTTTAAGATATGGCAAATATGTTAGAATAGTATTTGTTTGTGAGACTGTATTCCATCTATTCATTCAGTTTAATTACAAAAACATTGGCCTATATTTGGTGGTCATTGTAAATAATTTAAGGATTTCCCAACTGTGATGGAGCAGCTGACCTTATAAATCTTTAACATGCACCAGCCCACATCAGGAAATGTAAGGCCTAAAGAGGTGTTTTTATACATGTATAAAGTGGTGAAATCGCTGTATAAAGATTATGCTTAGCTGTATTTTTCAGTCTTGAAAGATCACACATCACTATCCTTGGCCCTTTTTTTTTCCTTCTATGTATATCATATCAACACAAAGGGTTATAATAAAGAAGATGTAGGAATACAATAACAAAATGGAATAAAAAATTTAAAATTAAAGTGTTTTTTTAATTTCTTTTAATTCAAGTTTTTAATATTGACTTGTTTCATTTTTAAAATCTGTTTAAATTTTAATTTCTTAGATATTTTGAATGAGCATGTGCTAGATTGATGATGCAAGTTTAAAAATAGCATGAACAGAAGGAAACAAAAAAAATTGTCAGAATGATAGCTTTGATGACTGTGATGTCCCACATCCTGAATTATTCCCATGGGATGATAACAAGGTATTCCCCTCTTGTGAACCACCTGTTGGGTCTCTCAGCTCTGGTGGAAGATGCAGTTTCTGAAACAAAAGGATGTAAAACTCAAACTATGTTCCAGTGTCACAGACAGCCGTAGAGTTGTTTTTTTATTGAAATTAAAAAAACAGTTGATAAAACCTGATTTCTACCTCTATGGTCAATTTTTTCCGTCTCAGTTTAAATGCCAGATCTGAAGTTTCGTGCTGAGCAGGTATAAGTGAGTTGAGCCGTGGAAGTTGAACAAGGTGAATTAGTCCTGAAGAGAAAATAGTATTGGTACTGAACTTGAGATTTTGAAATAAAATGATCCAGCTTTGGTAAACATAGTAAATACACAAAGATAAAAATGACTTGTGTTTACATAGTTAACACACAGATTTTCACAGTTGAACTAAGCACAAACATGAATTGCAATTTACCATGGTATTCTTTAAAAACAGGATTTTTTTCTTTCTCTGAACCTGCAAAGCTGTCTAATTTGACAACTGTATCACATAATCTTTCCATCTTCTTAACTGTACTCCTGTCCTAGAGAGAAAACTATGAATTATATTTAACTAATAAATAAATCTTAGCTAACTGGAATAGGCCTTACATGAATTATCTTTTTTCACTTGAATTTGTCTTTTCTTTCTCATGAACTTTGCTTTCAAATTGTATTCATGTTTTTGCTTTCTTTTGATATCAATGAATGCAAAAGTGCCAAAGCTACAGTTGCTAACATGGAGAGATATCAGAATCGCCTCTCATGAGGACAGCTTCAATAGTCCATTTTAAAAAAAACAACATTATTTAGAGTAAGTTGGCTACCATTTTATTAAAGAAAAATAGAGTTTTAAAAATTAACACATTGCCATATGCACTCAGATTACATCTAGACTTAACCAAACATTGTATCTAAATAAGCTGACTAAGTTGACCTAAAGACTAATTATATTCAAATAACCTGAATAAATTGACCCTAAGACTATTATATCCAAATAACCTGACTAAATTGACCTAAAGACTAATTATATTCAAATAACCTGACTAAATAAGACCCCAATAAGCTGACAAAGTTGATCTCTAGCAGTGCTGTCCAACCTGCACGCTGCCCGTGAGCTGATGGCCTGTCACAGCTTGAGACATTTTCAGATGCTCACAAAACAATAAAACATTTCAGGGTGAAGAGGTTTTCAAAGCACATTCATTATTTTGTTGTGAAATTGAGTGAGAGCCCAGGAGAAGTGGAAACATGGGAAAAGGGGGAGGTCGCCAAAGCTAAGGAGTGTGATTGCTTGACAGGTAGCGGTAATTTATGTTAAGCAAATCAGCAGAGCAACCGTTTGGGAACATGTGTGACATAAAATCAGTTACTATCATCTACTTTCTGTTGACTGTAGGAGGCGTTGCGGGGCATCGGGTATAATTACTAATGGCGGGGCATCGGGTATAATTACTAATGGCGGGGCATCGGGTATAATTACTAATGGCGGGGCATCGGGTATAATTACTAATGGCGGGGCATCGGGTATAATTACTAATGGCCTTGAGTACAACGAAGAGGAAAACAAAAAGTAGCTTGATGTGTTGCTATTTGGTCATTGTAAAAATATCCAAGCACCCACCAACGGGACATGCACCCACCAACGGGACATGCACCCACCAACGGGACATGCACCCACCAACGGGACATGCACCCACCAACGGGACATGCACCCACCAACGGGACATGCACCCACCAACGGGACATGCAACCACCAACGGGACCAATTTGGATGAAATAGAGCACCGTGTGTTAACTACTGCAACTACTGCAACTACTGCCCTTTGTGGGATGATAATAATTTGACAGGAAAGCCTTCGGTCAGAGTAATGGAGATGGGAGCTGGAGTACTAAAGGTGTCACAATGGAATGGGTGGCAGTGTGAACCATTTACGGTACCATGAGTAATGGAGATGGGAGCTGGAGTACTAAAGGTGTCACAATGGAATGGGTGGCAGTGTGAACCATTTATGGTACCATGAGTAATGGAGATGGGAGCTGGAGTACTAAAGGTGTCACAATGGAATGGGTGGCAGTGTGAACCATTTATGGTACCATGAGTCATGGAGATGGGAGCTGGAGTACTAAAGGTGTCACAATGGAGTGGATGGCAGTGTGAACCATTTATGGTACCATGAGTAATGGAGATGGGAGCTGGGGTACTAAAGGTGTCACAATGGAATGGATGGCAGTGTGAACCATTTATGGTACCATGTCATTTAAACAGGTGGTATAGCCGGGAATCAGAGAGTGTGTGTGTCCATCCTGTAGTGTTGTAACATTGGGCGCCACAAGTACCTGGTATTCAGAGATCGGATTATGAAATTGTAGTCGATACAATTCAGTGAGGGAGGAATTGTGAGAGACAGTAGGAATGATTCCTGAAAGTATTTTTTTTAATAAACAAACATAAGAATGTGTGGCCAAATAAATTATGGATGATGTCATGTTTCCTCAGATGAAATTCCACAACTCTGGAAATGTTGAAACAAAATTGTGACCCTGTTTTTGGAAGCACCCTACACCAGTGAAGCTTGATTCTCTGTAATGACTAACATCAAGTCCAAAAAATGTAATGTTTTGACTGGTGAACAATTAGAAAATCTATTAGGGCATGTGCTACTGATAACAACCACAAATTAAGAAAATTTGCAAGTAAGAAAAATATTAACAGCCGATCTTGAAAGGAAAATAAAGGCGATGGAGATGAGATGCTTCAGAAGCATTTTTGGCATCTGCTATAGGGACCATATCTCCAATGATACAGTGAAAGAAAGGGTTCGTCAGGCAATTGGGGAGTACGATGACCTCCTGGTGACTGTGAAAAAACGCAAATTACAATAGTAGGCCACGTAACAAGGCAACAAGGGCTTGCCAAAAGAAATATTGCAGGGCACCACAAGAGGAGGGAGAAGAAGAGGAAGACAAAGAAAAAGGTGGGAGGATAACATCAAAGAGTGGACAGGACTAACACTGGGCGATGCAGTGAGTAGTGCTGAAGACAGAGAGGAATGGAGGAGGATAGTTCACATGTCATCTGTGGCGCCCCAACGGTCCAAGGACTAAGGGACATGAGGATGAGGATGAAGAAAAATATATCATTAAAAATGGCTACAGTTTTTATTTGCTTTATTTTTATATTCTTGAAGAGCCACTTTATGCAATTGGGGGTATGTTTCTTTAAGCATTAGGTAAGAACTATTCATAATGGGAATATTTTATTTGTTTTGAGATATCATGTGCAACCCTCAGCTTCATGGAAAAACACATTTTTGGATAGCACTATCTATGGCCCACGGTCGAAAGGTTTGGACAGCACTATCTATGGCCCACAGTCGAAAGGTTTGGACAGCACTATCTATGGCCCATTGTCGAAATGTTTGGACAGCACTATCTATAGACTAGACATTATATCCAAACAAGCTGATGAAAATGAGTTAGGTAAAAAACATTTTAAAAGACTTACGTGGAAAAGGTGTGCAGGGACAGTGATCATGGCCACAGCAAATGCTGACCTCAAGATGCCTCGGAGCCCAATAAAGAATAAGGGGAGTGAAGGATCTGATCCCTCCCCATTGGCTCTCACACCTCCCATCTCTCCCCACAGCGGAGAGCCAATAGAACTGATACCTGCAGTAAACATTAATTTCTCCGTTACACTCTTCGGCTTATGTATCTAAAACAGTGAACAAGTTGTGATGCTTTATTTGGAAATGTTATATGTGTATATGGCTGATTCATGTTCCACTTGTCTTTCTGTGTCTCTGTCAGGGTGTCTTCATTAGCCACTCCTTCCAACTATGATAGATAAGATTTTTTAAATGAGGATTTTTCCTCTGCCAAGAATACCTGCCTTAACTCTTCACATTCCTGGAATTTTTCATGTTTTTCTAGTGACCTTAAAAAAGAGTCAATAACTTATAGAATCCATGAATAAAGTTCATTATATTATATATACATTTCTGGGGGAATTCATGAGGTTTCTTAAAATGTTTGTTTCAAAACATAAAATGTCAACACTTAGAAGTTGACCAAAAAATAATGCATAATTATTTTATGAAAATGTGTAATAAAACGATTCTGTGATCAATGCAAAGAAGGAGGGAAAAAAAACGACCAGAAATGATTGAATAAAATCTGTTTATTCAGAAAGAAAACACGAGCATTTGACCAAAATATAAAATGTGTCAAAAAAGGAAATAATTTTTCTTTAAATTAAAATTCCCCACGCCTTCACAAAGTATTCAAAGAATTATAGGTTATTATTATTTTACCTTTTTAAAATTAGTTCCTTTACACTGTTACACATTACAAAACATATTATTAGACGATATTAACTTCATGATACTCAGATAGTTTCATGTTTTCTTCTAATACAAACCTAAGTGGCACATGTGCTACTTTAGATAGTGGATTTTCTTTTTGCATTCCTAATTTATAGCACACTATACAATTTCTTTTTAAATCTGTGCATTCAGGAGCTATTGGATGCATCTGTTGTATTTGTGTTTTTTACATTTGAGGCACTTGGAACATTATCAGCTTTAGTAAATCACCTAATGTTCAAATAATTTCCTCGGTGAAGTCCATTGATAGTCAAATGTCAGGTAGCTTTAGTTCATCTATATCATCATTTTATTTTAAACAATCCTGAAGAGATTACAGCTGGCAAAATAAAAGAAATGAAAAAATAAAAGGTTTGTCCAGTGCTGTTCTCTTTACTTTGGGTGATATATCCATTTATCAACAGGTCAACACCACACATAAATGAATTGTATGATTTCAAAATCTGATTTGACAGTAGTTGATTTTCTCACAAATAAAAGCCTAGATAGACACCATCTGTTTTGGTTCTGCTCACAAAAGAAAATCCATTTGCTGTCATATTATTTGAAATAAGTGAGACTGTTTTATTTTCTCTTCACCGAACATTATCAGTTATCCACCGCATATTTCATTGCCGTGCTGTTTTTTTTCATTTTCTTCTGCTAAAGACAACAAATTCAATTTGCACAGTTTGTCCTTATGGTCTGTTTCACTATTAGAAATGTTGAAGACTGACATTATTTGAAAAAATCTGTTTTTGGGAATACTGCCAAAATTAGCCCAAAATCTATGGTAGATTGTTGAAGTTGACCAGTATTTTTGTACACTGGGGACCTGTACAGTTGCCATACACATCTGTGGTCCTAGAAATGTGTAAAATTCATCTGTTAAAATATCAAACAACCTCAGTTGATAAAAGGCTTAGAAGGTCCCATGGTAGTTGAACAGCTGGTGTGTTTTACAAATGTTTCAACAAAATCCAGTGTGAAAAATGTCTTGAAAAACCTTTAGTCTTTAGGATGAAGAAACTTGCTCATTCTGTTCATGTTGACATTTCTTCCCTCAGTTGTAAGTAAGCCTGGTTTTTTGCTGGGAGAAACTTTGTACTGGGAACTTGTACATCAAATGACTTTAACCTGTGAATGTAAAAGAACAACTAATATAATAGACCTATTTACTACTTTTGGGGATGAAATGAATAAAAAATATATACTGCACTTAAATTCCAAGTCTTTAGTACTTCCAATACTGGGTGAAAACCAATATGACTATAAAATTTAGTGTCAGTGAATTAAATTTTACCACACACACAGATGTCAAATTTTGTCTTCTTTAGGATGAAATATATCATAATAAGCAGTGCCAACTGCATTGTTTACATTCCTTAGCAACAGTTGCTAAGTATAAGGACTTCACAAATTATCTTTGTAATAAAATATTTACATAATACCAGATGGAGCCCGCCAAACATTGGCGACAGCAATGTGTGAACTTCTCATCTACTAAAGTTACTTGACAAAAACGTGAATTCAAGTTACACACATTTAAGAATGCCAATTTTTCTACAACACCCCCCCCCCCTACTTTTCATGATACGTCACTGCACACTTTTTATTTCACGCCTATGAACTATATTAATATTCTTATGTACCAACCACTTTTAAACCGAATATTTTTTACATAATACTTAAATTGAGAAGATTTCATTTCCGAGGAGAAAATATTACGCACCAAACGCAATTACGTTATTAAAAATATATATTAATCATTTAGTGTAGTTATCGGGAATTATATTTTGCGGGCTAGTTAACTCATTATTTAACCACACTCTAGCATATCTATATATAGCCTCCATGGTGGTGTTTGACCATTGCTGGCGAATTATATATATAGATACAAGAATTTTATTTCATTTAAACATGGCAGCTAGTAAACATTTAAACATGCTTAAAAACACAAATTAAACCTACAAAAAAAATATTTTAATAATAAATAGTTTAAAAAAATAGAATGATGAAACATTTGATTACTAACCTTCCATTGTAAACAACTTTAGTGGGTTGCAAAGGAAGATTCTCATCAAAATCTAAATCAGAATCACTTGATTCAGATTCCCATCGGATAAAAGTTGATCGATATTTTCATCAGTAATATTCATTATTCAAGATTCTGTGCTGTGATGTCAACAAGCGTCTAACACAAATGTGCCTGAGATGATGACTCTTGCTTTGGCATGTAACATGAATCTTAACCATGCAAAAAATATCAAAATCATTTACAATCCTTTAGTTTGTTTCTTTTAAAATTATTTTGTTCCAATTGTATGATGAAATAAAAATTTTATGAACAAAAATAGCCTGTGTGTATAAATTTATGCTCCCTATATAAAGGAATAAAAAAGCGTAAATGGGCTAATTAATAAGTCTAATCTTATCATTCGATGACAGCCAAGGATTATTTCAAACCAGGTCACTACTTAGGAGGCGGACATATTAGCGTTTCAACACAGGGCCAAGGGACCCTTTACTTTGATGTTAAATGTTTGCAATGCAAGTGAGAAGTGACAGGTGAAACATAAATTGTCAACACCATTGATGTACAATGATGAGAGAAAACTTACATATTCTAAGAATTTTTCTTTTGTCTGTGTTTTGTGCTGTACCAAAGCAACCGGTATCAATGTGCTTTCTGATCTGGTCCAATAGATGGCAGTAGTGTGCATTCATGTAGGGTATGACTGGGCTGTGAGCAAGCAGAGTCTAGTTTTATATGTACAACTTATACTAACTGCATATATGCAAAGGAAAAAAAATATATCTGCACGTCATACCATGACATTTCACTTTACACAGCATTTTACAACAGTGCAGCCATGTGCATAAAATAATTCTCAACTTTTCATCATAATTGATAAAAAAGTTAGTACTTACAATATGTTTGTTTCTTTTCTAATTTCTTGCATATTAATTTCATTAACTTCTCCTACCAAACAATGTTTAATGGATTGAATTTCATAATTTAGCTTTTGAGTGAAAGTCACCATCATTTATATCTGACCATTTAAATACTGAAATATTAGTGGGAGGATGAAAAGAAATTATGATTTTTCAGCCAAGCCATGATCATGAATTATATGATAATAACCGTACCTGACATTCAGGGGTCCTGTGTCAAGTGGACTTGGAGCCGTGACTATTTCCACCTGATCTATTAGCTCCACGGGCATGGTTTGCGTCAGATCATAATAGTGACCAAATCTAATGTTAGACACAGGGCTGCTCTGCCGAAGAAGATCAATGACATTTATATAGTCAATATAGAAGTTAGGCATGTTTGGTCAAACAAATTGATACATTTGGTAACATTGAAATGGGCTGAGTGATACAGATTTATCACCCACTGCAGGGTTAGAGAGCAATAGAATAAATCAGTTAACATGAATTCAGGTGATTAGAATCATAAACACACTAAAAATAAATTACCTTAACTTTTGGTTGGCTTTGATATCTCCAAGCAATCTTCATCTTGTCATTGTCATTAGTCTGCACAAGAATTGAAAAATAAATATTTCACAGTTTTAAGAAATGTTTGTCTCATTTTTTATTTTACTTAGTTTATATGTTTTTAATAATTGTAAAGCGCTTAGAGCTTTAAGGTAAGCGCTATATAAAAAAATGCCTAAATAAATAAATAAATAAATAGTTTTTGTTTTAAAAAGTTTCCTATGTTTATAATAACTGAACAAAATTGCATGAAGCAATGTAACAGGTGGCATGAAGAAATGATACAGGTGACATGAAGCAATGTAACAGGTGGTGTGAAGCAATAAAACAGGTGGTGTCAAGCAATGTAACAGGTGGTGTGAAGCAATGAAACTGGACATTTTTTTATAACTGTAAAATGAGTTACCTACTGCATTGTCTGTGATAGATTTCTGAGATTCTGGGTGACCGGTTGAAGGAGGAGGCACTGATTTTGATGGGTATACTTTTGAATGAACACGAGTGTCATCAATTGGAGCTGGCAATTCCTTGAAAAAATAATAACAATTGAAAACTTATGGTTACTGCTGTAACAAAATTATACAACTATAAAAAGTATAATAGAAAGGATAACCAGCAAAGCTTGTCAAGTCACTCCCTTCACTCAAGTTTATTTTCTAAAGGACTCTTTGTAACTTAGCTTAAACGTTATGTAGAAACAATGATGATACTTGTATACATCTATATCATGTCTTAACAGGTCAGGTGATGTATTTTAATTTATCCAACGTTAGATATCAGACTCATACAGACAATCCTGCCAATTTATTTTCACAGCCAATGGTAAGCCCTTTGAAAAACACTCTTAAGTAACCTGAATCATTTCTGCATGTATTGAATCCTTACTTTAATTAACTGTTGCGGAGGTTCCTTTGCACTGGACAAAAATATTGATTGTCCTGTCATGACACCTTCTGCTATGAAGTATTTCAGCATTATCTTTGCGTAGCTGGAGTAGGTATCCTCTTCTGTTGAGTTACAAACATGAATCAGTCATCAAAATATATTAAGGACTGTTTCTGGATGTGCAGAAAATTAAAACTTTCATCTTATAGATAACTTTATAACTTTTCTAAAAGTCATGTTGCCAATTTCCTAGTTGAAAGTAATGGGTTCTAGAACCGGCAATGTACGTTATTTAATTTGTTATTTTTCAATATTTTTTTTTTGCCTCAGGTCAAAAATTAATTACCTTAACACTACTTACCAACAAGTAAAACTGTACCCACTGCCAGTCCACCACCTAGGTGTAATAAACAAAATATCACACTCTAAACATAAACATTTCTTTAGGAAATTTAACAAATGTATTTCATATTAAAAAGGTACCTATTTATAACAATTTAACATACTATTTTTGTTGCAAATAAATCAAATAATGAAACAAAATAATATATGGACCAGGAGAAGCATCAGCAACCAACCCAAAATAAAAGCTTAAAAGACAGAATAGTAGCCAGAATGATCAATACATTGATCATGGGTCCTCAAGATATAGAAGAAGAAGACAGCTGTGCTCCCAACGCTACTATATGCATGTAAAACATGGACAGTCTATCAACACCATGCAAGGAAACAAAACCAATTTCACAAGATGAGCCTCCAAAAAATCCTCAACATCAAATGGCAGGACAAGATTCCAGACACTGTGGTACTCGCACAAGCAGGACTCCCCAGCATGCACACCTCATTAATGCAGTCTCAGCTTTGCTGGGCAGACCCATGTTGCGAGCATGTCAGAGAACCGCTTGCCCAAAAGAATATTTAAAGGTGAAATCAAGCAAGGCAGGTAGCTTGCTGGGGGACAGAAGAAACACGTTAACTGGTTAACTACCATGAGCCGGTGGGAGCGGCTCAGCGTTTCTTTCGTTATGGCCACAAACCGCTGGTAGCGCCCATGTTTGTATCGTAGTAAATGTGACCTAGATTTAATTCGGCCAAAGCATATTTTTAATCTGGTAGCTAATCAGTTAAAGACAAACTGAAAGCATCTTTGAAAGCATTTCACACTGACCCGGACATAAGGCAACAGTCCTCAAAAAATCTAGACTCTTGGCGTTCTTCCATACACAAGGACTCAATGCAACAAGAGGCTAACAGAACAGCTGCTGCTGAACACTAAAGTCAAGCCAGAAAAGCCCAAGTTAACTCTGTACATGTAGTTGTCCCATCCATCCCCTGCACCTTCTGCACCAGAACATTTCATGCCAGAACTGGCCTGATAAGCCATCTGCGAATTCACAGACAGAGCTGATGTTTAAAATGGTCATGATTAACTTTTGAACCATCACAGACATGTAGTTAACAGACACAATATGGTAGAAATATTCAATTCAAAAGATAGAAAGTTGATATTTATTTTTTAAATTAAACTTTTCTCTATAATACTGTACTACTTTAAGAATTTGGTAAAAGTGTAGTTAGCAGCATGAGTTTTGCCATGAGTCGTCTCAAAACTGAATTTGGGGTGCATAGACCAATAGTTGGTCCTGAACAAAGTGAATAATAACTTTCCCATTTTTTCCTGAGCATTATTTATTCCCATCATAAACTAAACTATCTAAATCTAATGATCGATACAGTTAATATGAGATGGTATTTCAGAAAAGTTCTTTAACTTTTTGTTATGACGACAATGTGACGTCCTTGGTAAATGAAAGTGGGTGACCGTGACGTCGCATCGGCATCGGTAGCGAAGGGTACCATCACTCATCTTTGCCCATAATTAATAGCTTATATATAATTATATATGACACAATGGCATATGGATATGATGGAAGACATGGCCAGCGCTGTCCCTAACCCAACTGCATCTTTTATTAATTTTTTTACTAAAGCGCTACTCTCAGTCCTATATACTTGGTTAACTTATCACCTGTCTTAATAATTGATCTTAGTAGTCTTATTCTTACACTTAAGCCTACCCTTTTTTTATTTATCCCTATTATTTACAATAGAAATTGAATTGGCTGTCTACTGTCTTAAGCCTAAGCTTACTCTTACCAATGACGTTGTCAAAAGAGGGGATTCCTGTGGAAATCAGTAACTGATTGTTATACAATGAAGGCCTTGTTCCACTAATTTGTCCAATTTTTATCTTTGCTCTTTTTTGGAAACTAGATGGTGCACCTAAATTTGATGCCATTTTGTTAATAAGACAGTGTACTTTTGGAAGAAAATGTGTGGACCTTCTAAAAAATATTATGGAGATTTCTTTACATACTTTATCGTTTATTATTTCTTTAATCCTTTAATGAGACTAAAAAACGAGAGAGTGGAAATTTACAGAATAAAAGAAGTATAATATTGCTTGCAAGGCTGTTAATTTACAATTACTTTTTAAAAACACAGGGGACTCACATGCGTAAGATTGATTTTATGGTTAAATTGTTTCAAATGCGAAAACCAATCAAATTAAGCAAAATTTTATAACAAAAGCTGGGAAAATGCTCCCATTCACCAATTAGTATGCTTTTTTCAGGTGTTGTTGGGCAAATAAATTATTAGCTTAAACTTAGTGACACATTTTAGTTTTAGGAATTATGCACATTATGTGAAATAAACAAAATCTGAGGATTACCTATCGGAATCCTAAATATATTCAAAATAACCAGAAGCTGCCATCAGTAGCGTAGCTAGGGTTGGTGTCACCCGGTGCGGTAAACTCATGCCCCCCCCCCAAAAAAAAAACCTTCTATGATCGATTTTTTCTTGTTAAAATGAGTCCACAGTATAGCATCAACCTTGAACTTTTAATAAAGCACGCATTTGGATTGGTTAAATTTGTGAAAAATATATGTGTGATCGGTTATTCTTTTATGAATCTCGATTTTTGCGAGCAATGTGTGCCCTGTAAATATGCAATTTTTCAATCGGGTGTCACCCCTAAAATGGTGTCACCCGGTGCGGTCCGCACCCCCCGCACCTGCCTCGCTACGCCACTGGTGTGAAGGGGTGGTCCGCCCCAGAAGGTATTTTGCTCTTTATATGGGGGGGGGGTTGCATTGTCGGCAAACTACAAACTGTGACATACATTTTTCGTGGAAGGAGGCGTCTAGGTTAATAGATTCAAGCTCCGGGTCGCACCAACCCTAGCTACACCTCTGTGTGCCATCCACTGCAGTGCTAATATGGCCTTAATGATACTTCTCCCACATTGGGATACTATAATAATGCTTTCATTGGGGGTAAATCTAAATCCTGAGACAATTATTAGGTTGACATTTGCAGATGACTAATGCAATTTTGAAAGAAAACATAACAAGGAACAACAGTTGCAGAGCCATGTTGATATTCTGAACGGTACATGCGATCTTTATGGAATGAAAATAAGCAAAGCTAAGATTGAGGTCACATCAGTTTGCCGTCAAAACCAGGATTTTAAATATAAAGGAGGCATTATCAAAGAGGATGGAAAATGGATAGTGAGTTGGACGGGAAATTGATAGAGTTGGAGACAATAATGAAGCTAGCAAATGCACTCAGCTCCCAAATCGCCCCACTACTGCGTCACTCAAGAATAAAGATGGAGACCAAAGCCAGAACTATTAAGGCCTCACACCTTGCGTCAATCCATCCACTATACCTCCTGCAGGCCTCACATGCACCTTGCGTCAATCCATCCACTATACCTCCAGCAGGCCTCACAGCTTGCGTCAATCCATCCACTATACATCCAGCAGGCCTCACAGCTTGCGTCAATCCATCCACTATACCTCCAGCAGGCCTCACACCTTGCGTCAATCCATCCACTATACCTCCAGCAGGCCTCACACCTTGCGTCAATCCATCCACTATACCTCCAGCAGGCCTCACACCTTGCGTCAATCCATCCACTATAACTCCTGCAGGCCTCACACCTTGCGTCAATCCATCCACTATACCTCCAGCAGGCCTCACACCTTGCGTCAATCCATCCACTATACCGTATACCTCCAGTAGGCCTCACACCTTGCGTCAATCCATCCACTATACCTCCTGCAGGCCTCACATGCACCTTGCGTCAATCCANCGTCACTCCATCCACTCTCCCTCCTGCAGGCCTCACCTGCCCCTTGCGTCAATCCATCCACCATACCTCCTGCAGGCCTCACAGCTTGCGTCAATCCATCCACTATACCTCCTGCAGGCCTCACAGCTTGCGTCAATCCATCCACTATACCTCCAGCAGGCCTCACACCTTGCGTCAATCCATCCACTATACCTCCTGCTGGCCTCACATCCACCTTGCGTCAATCCATCCACTATACCTCCAGCAGGCCTCACAGCTTGCGTCAATCCATCCACTATACCTCCTGCAGGCCTCACATGCACCTTGCGTCAATCCATACACTATACCTCCAGCAGGCCTCACAGCTTGCGTCAATCCATCCACTATACCTCCAGCAGGCCTCATACTTTGCGTCAATCCATCCACTATACCTCCAGCAGGCCTCACACCTTGCATCAATCCATCCACTATACCTCTTGCAGGCCTCACATGCACCTTGCGTCAATCCATCCACTATACCTCCAGCAGTCCTCATACCTTGCGTCAATCCATCCACTATACCTCACACATTAGGTCCATCCATCCACTATACCTCCAGCAGGCCTGACACCTTGCGTCCATCCATCCACTATACCTCCAGCAGGCCTCACACCTTGCGTCAATCCATCC